AACAGTAACAAGAGGACATAAAATCCGCTCTACAGAAGACAGATGGGAGACTGAAGCATATTTCCTACAAGACATAGCTAATCCGACTTTTATTATGTCCAGGAAGGAAAGAGAAGGTGACCCCAAGTGACATTATCCACACGTGACATAGGACGACACTTGGGGACACACCGTCCCCGGGCTTACGGATGACTCCGGCGGCATCCGGCACTCATCAACGTTTGTCAAACAGCCAGAATAGGAGCTAACAACCAGAGGACATGAAATAGTCAGTGTCACTCAGGTCAGTTCTCCAGTACAGGTGTACCTCGGTTTAAAATTTTTAATCCGTTCTCCAGGAAGTTTCATATTGCGAAAAATTAGTAAACCGAAACGCGGTTTCCCATAGGAATGCATTGAAAACCAATTAATCCGTTCCAGAGGTCAGAAAATAATAAAAAGAAAAAGGCTTTTATAGGCATAAATACTGTACAGGGACACGATTAATCAAGCAATAACTCGATGTAAGAACCACTCCGACACCTCCACACTCGATGCCACGTGCTGCCACAGACTCCAGCATGCACGGGGCCGGCGCTATAAACCTCCAGACGCAATGCATCCTAGGGAAACTTACTTTGTAGTGCGAAAAAAAAACGTAAAAAATTCATAAACCGAGCCATTATTTTCAAAGGAATTTTATTCATAAACCGAAAACTACTTTAACCAAGGCGTTCGTAAACCGAGGTACTCCTGTATATGTAAAAAATGTCAGGGGGAATTTCAGAATACATGTCGAAGCCCAAAAAAATACAAAACTTTTAAAGAGGATCTCCAACTTTTCAGATAATTCTCAATGCTTTGGTAGTTACCTCCTGAAGTCTACCCCCCCCCCCCCCCCCCCCCCCAGGTCACCCCAGCCTGTCCATAATTGCAATGTAACCATTACTTTCTACCTCAGGGGAATCCGCTTTTTCCAGCTGTGCGACGGTAAGGCAAGTAATACATTATGCAATTTTCGTTCCTTCAACAACAGGTTGAAAGAAAGAAAATTGCTCGGTTCCCCCATCAACACAGTCAGTGTTGATGGGGGAATCCCTCCCGCAGCGCTAATGTGTTCTGCCAGCTGGGAGCCTTCCTGACCAGCGAAATACAATGATCACTGCTGGGGGCTAGAGCTGCCAGCAGTTATCGGCCAAAAAAAAATCAAAACCTGACAGGCTGGTTGTACTGAAGTTGATTGATAGATTGACTTCAGTACAACCAGCCTGCTCTCAGATGGATCAAAATTCGGCCAATTCCTGCTGAACTTTTCTCTCTGTGGCCAGCTTAAGCATTGCACAGCCACTTCCTATCTGAAGTCTTCATCACTCCCCTCTGTAGTTCTCAGGAACACAGATGACGTTACCAACGTTGTGGAAGCCAAGGCCTTCAGAAAGCGGGCACCAAGCATGGGAAACCTTCATCAACAGGAGGTGTTTTAATTGTTTTTACCTTTTGAAATTTAGGACTAAATAACCGCTTCCTGACTGTTGTATAGCAGAGATATTGCTACAGGGCGGCACGGGTACGCAAAATCACGTGTATATGTATGTGATTTTGCATTTCCGGGTAGCGGGCTCTCGCCAGCGCCTGGTGATTTCCGAGGATCTCTGACAGGGAGGAGAACCGTCTTGTTTACTAACAGTTTTCCTCCCTGTCAGCTCAAGCACACTGCTTTGTATGGTTGTGCACAGCACAGCCATCCAGAGCAGTGTGATTACAGTGAAGCACACTGATACCGCCCCCTTGTCAACACTCCCAGCACACATTTAACCCTTTGATCGCTCCTCATGTTAACCCCTTCCTGCCCAGTGCCATTAGTACAGTGTCAGTGTTTTTTTTTTTTTTAGCACTGATCACTGTTCTGGTGTCGCTGGGGAGGTCAGTGACACCAAGTCAGTTCCGCCCAGTGTCAGAATGTCCACCGCAGTCCCGCTATAAGTCGCTGATCGCCACCACTACTAGTAAAAGAAAAAAAAAATCTCAGTATATATACCGCCAGTTCCAAACGCTATAACTTTCACGTAAACATATTCATTTACACAGATTGAGATTATTTTATTTTTTTTTAGCAAAGACATGTCGCAGAATACATTTTGGCGTAAATTTATGCTGAAATTTTATTTAATTTTTTAACTGAACATGTTTAATAGCAAAAAAGTCAAAAATATAGTTTTTTCCCTCAATATTGTCAGTCTTTTTTTTGTTTATAGCGCAAAAAAATAAAAACGCAAAGGCGATCAAATACCCCTGAAAGAAAGCTAAATTTGTTGGAAAAAAAAAAAAAGGAGGTAAATTTCATTTGGGTTCAGCGTTGCATGACTGCGCAATGGTCAGTTACAGTAACGCAGCGCCGTAACGCAAAAAAAATGGCCGGTCAGGAGGGGAGGGGGGTAAATCCTCTGGAGGACAAGTGGTTAAAGAAGAGTGATGTGCCATGAGTGCTCTGTATCCATGCACTGCTGTATGTAGCCTCTTACTAGGAGCACCGAGACCCGCTGCTGTGATTCCACAGAGGTCAGAAGTGTGGGACCTCCAAGGGCAATCTCTGCACGAATCCAGAGGTGGGCAACAGCAGCCCTCTTGCAGAAATAAAACGTCCCATTGTGCGTCTACCTCTGGGAGTAATGCAGGCCATAGACGGGGAGAAAACCAGCCGTTTTTTTTTTTTTTAGAAAAACGAAAAATCGGTCAATCAGCCGACGTTACCACCATTGGTAGAAAAAAAGTTGGCTGATTTTCGTCCCGTCTACGGCCGGCAATTATAGAATATGCAGAAGAAATAGAAAATGAATAAAAAGAAGAAATAGAATACGAAGAAGAAATAGAATATGAAGAAGCAGAAGAAATAGAATATGAAGAAGAAAAAGTTGCAACATTGTATCTATTTGTATCCATTTCGGATACAGATGTTTCTATTCAGATACAAACAGATACAATGTTGCTATACTTTTAAATGTCAAATATAATATCGGACTGAAATTCTTTTTTTTGCTTCTTCTTTATATTCTATTTCTTCTTCTCATTCATATTCTATTTGTTTCCCTTTCTTCTTTTCCTTCTTCTTTCATGTCACTGCTCATGCGCAATTTTTAAAATCGGAAAAAGATCGGCAGATTTGTCCATCATTGCCACGAAAATCGGCAGAACGACAAATTTGGCCGATTATTTTCCAGCAGGACCGATAATCCAAAAGGGCAAAAATCACTAAAAACGGCCGTCTGATTACCGCACTAATGATCCGAAAATCGGCCGATTTTTTTTTTTCGGCTGATTTTCGGCCGTTTTTCATCCCATCTATGGCCCGCATAACTGTCAGTTTTCCCATCATGCCTCTGCCTGTGGGAGTCATGCTTGTAACTGCCTTGCAATTCCTCCTGAGACATGTAATTCCACAACAGCAGAAGGGCCGCAGTTGCCCACTAGTCTTGGCTCCCTGCAGAGTTACTAACAGAGAGTACCACACATACCTTACTTGCCTACCTCCCTAGCCCTGTCTGTAGGGCAGGGATAAGTCTCATGAAATGGCCCAAAGCGATACAATGCCGCACACAGAGATGCCCACAAGCTGAGAGTGATGTCGCTTTTTCCAAACCCACAGCTCTACTGATTGTGCTGCTGGTTGCAATGGTGTCCCTGTGGCCAGGCTGTGTGCGCTACTAGTGATCATCACCACCTCCCTGTAATCCCAGCCAAGTACCTCTCCCTCCCATCAGTTTATAGAGCCGACACGCCCCTTACAAGCCTAATTCCAACTTTCAGCGGGCATGCAGCAACTGACCAAGAAGACAGGAAATGACACAGGAATATGACAGGAAACCAAAGGGTGTTTCACAGATTTGTCTGATGTTTTCAAAAGTCAAACTTTGGTTTATACCAATCAACATTAGTGTTTGTACCCAACACAGGGCACCATGCACCCATCCCCCGTAGCAGCATCATTTACACCTATTGAGAAAACTAGCTGTGAAGATTAGTGACATGGGTGAAAAAACATTGCCATGATGGCAGGTTTAGAGTTGGCGTTCACCAACTAATACTGAACTCATCTGCTGCATATTGAAATATGAATTACAATTAAATAATACGTTTTAATAATTAAATACACTTTAGTAGGGGGCACTTGAATAAGTCCAGGTACTGGAAATGCGTCTGCGTTGCCCATAGCAAAGAATAAGGTTTTACCCCCTGGTCACATCAGGTGCGACTTGGCATGTGATTTGCAGATTGTATGCCAAGTCGCACCCTATTGTCCGCTATTACAGCGCTCATACCGGTGCGGTTCTGACTTGGTCGGAGCCAGACTGATTCCTAAAGTAGCCCATGCACTACTTCTGGTGTGATTTGTATAGACGTGTGTCAGATGTCTTGCAAATCGCACCTGAAATCGGCATGTCCCCCGACTTTGAAATCGTGCGACTTCACTGTAAGTTGCACAATTTCCAAATGGGGCTTGATGTGACCGGGGGGGCTAAAAGGAGAACTGTACTGCCGAATGGAATTGTAGCATTGGGACACTTAAATGTTGTACACTGCAAAACCATAAAACCCTGCACCAATTTTTGGCCGGAAATGTTATTTAGCAGTGTCCATGTACTTTGGCAGGTCATACAATCTGAGTGGGGCAGCTAACTATATGAAGCATAAAGAGAACCTGTCATTTTGCCCATTCAAGGTAAAGTAGCAAGTTCTTCTAACAGACAGCCGTTCACCCACCAATGGTAAGCTTTGCCACAGCCCCCCTGGTTTCTTGTTAGAGCCCTACAGAAAACAGGTAGGCATCTCACGCATGGAGAGCATGTGACCCCCCCCCCCCCTGCAGTCCTTAGGCCTGAGCAGTCAGTGTGGGGCTCACACAGGGTTTAGATCCAGGGCTCCGACAGACAAGTGGTGTGGCAGGTGAGCACGGGAATCACTCGCTCTCATGTATGGGGGAGCACGGGAAACACTCGCTTTCATGTATGGGGGAGCACGGGAAACACTCGCTTTCATGTATGGGGAGCACGGGAAACACTCGCTTTCATGTATGGGGGAGCACGGGAATCATTCGCTTTCATGTATGGGGGAGCACGGGAAACACCCGCTTTCATGTATGGGAGAGCACGGGAATCATTCGCTTTCATGTATGGGGGAGCACGGGAATCATTCGCTTTCATGTATGGGGGAGCACGGGAATCATTCGCTTTCATGTATGGGGGAGCACGGGAATCATTCGCTTTCATGTATGGGGGAGCACGGGAATCATTCGCTTTCATGTATGGGGGAGCACGGGAATCATTCGCTTTCATGTATGGGGGAGCACGGGAATCATTCGCTTTCATGTATGGGGGAGCACGGGAATCACTCGCTTTCATGTATGGGGGAGCACGGGAATCACTCGCTTTCATGTATGGGGGAGCACGGGAAACACTCGCTTTCATGTATGGGGGAGCACGGGAAACACTCGCTTTCATGTATGGGGGAGCACGGGAAACACTCGCTTTCATGTATGGGGGAGCACGGGAAACACTCGCTTTCATGTATGGGGGGCAGCGGGAAACACTCGCTTTCATGTATGGGGGAGCACGGGAAACACTCGCTTTCATGTATGGGGGAGCACGGGAAACACTCGCTTTCATGTCTGGGGGAGCACGGGAAACACTCGCTTTCATGTCTGGGGGAGCACGGGAAACACTCGCTTTCATGTATGGGGGAGCACGGGAAACACTCGCTTTCATGTATGGGGGAGCACGGGAAACACTCGCTTTCATGTATGGGGGAGCACGGGAAACACTCGCTTTCATTTATGGGGGAGTACGGGAATCACTCGCTTTCATGTATGGGGGAGCACGGGAAACACCCGCTTTCATGTATGGGAGAGCACGGGAATCACTTTCATGTATGGGGGAGCACGGGAAACACTCACTTTCATGTATGGGGGAGCACGGGAAACACTCGCTTTCATGTATGGGGGAGCACGGGAAACACTCGCTTTCATGTATGGGGGAGCACGGGAAACACTCACTTTCATGTATGGGGGAGCACGGGAATCACTCCCTTTCATGTATGGGGGAGCACGGGAATCACTCCCTTTCATGTATGGGGGAGCATGTGACCTCCCTCCCTTCCCCAAAGCAGGGGCCAACTCAGCCAATCACCAGGCCTAAAACACTGTCATATGAGGAAGAGGAGAGGAAATCATCTACCTTGTGCAAGCTCTGACATCACCCTACACAGAGCTTATACAGGGCTTGGACTCGCTGGGTCGGAAGGCAATGGCAGTTGAACTTTTCACAGACCCTATCACTTGAATGGGCACAGTGACACAGTCTCTTTTCAGATGGTAAGAAGAGTATCTCAGGCTTGCCTACAGTTGCCACGATCCTGCCAAACACATATACCTCTCCCATATTCTGCTCCGAGCAGAAAGTGCCGCAAGATGCAAACTCTCTATCTAGGCAGGTCAGTGCTTATCTGTGTCCCTAGGCAAAAGAGGGGCAGGAATAGATTTCATTGACATTATTATACAGTGTATGTAAACCCAAGAGCAAAAACGTAATATATTACAGCTTACCAGTCCAACGCACACTTGTACATTGCAGGAACGTGTGCAAAATCCTGTGCTTTCCCGCAACGCACAAAACGAGCTGCCCTTTCATTCTTAATGGCATTAATTCTCAAGGCTCCCACACACATCTGCCAATGTGCATGCGTGGAGAAGAGCACTATGCGTTTTGGTGCGGTGCGATTTCACAAAAGGGTCAGGGACTTCTTTGGTGTGTTTTTTTGTGCATGGGGCAACCCATTAATATGAGCAGGTTACCCTACACCAATGCATGGAAACTCACGCAAGCTCCAATGGTGTGAAGGAGCCTTGGACACAACGGCTGCATTAGTGTTTTTTTTTTTTTTTTTTTTTTTCAGGCTAAACTACATTTTCTGCAATCAAAAAAATATCATAACATATCAAACAATATTATCAGCCTACCCCGCTATCCACCTTCCTAGGAGATTTTTGCAAATCAACTCAGAGCATAGCGTGACAACACTGCTCCTCCAAAGATACAGTGCGGAAAGGGAGTGTTGTCACCCTAGGACAGGAAGTGCTTTTGGCAGGATCACCAGGGGTACAAAAAAAAAAATGGAAACCAAGACTGAAATGTGGAATAGACTCCCACAAGAGTTGGTTCTGGCCAGCTCAGTAGATTGCTTAAAAAAAAAGTTGTGGATTCTTTCCTAGATACACGGAATATAACTGGATATAACATTTATAGGTAAAGTTGATCCAGGGAATATCCGATTGCCTCTCGGGGGATCAGGAAGGAATTTTTGTTTCCTGCAGGAGCAAATTGGATCATGCTTTGCTGGTTTTTTTTTGCCTTCCTCTGGATCAACTGTGGGTATAGGAATATAACTTTTTTTTATGGTTGAACTGGATGGACTTCTGTCTTTTTTCAGCCAGACTAACTATGTCATTATATCCCCGCTTTTTATATTTATGATATTAAGTGTAGAAGAGCTTAATTCGGCTTGTTTATATGCAAGGTGTCCCTGCCGGTGATTGGGCCAGTTAATGAAGAAAGGAAGTGAATGCAGCCACTACAGCTAAGAACTGGTAAGCTTTCTATTACGTTTTTTCCTTTTTTAGGTTTAGACACACCTTATCCATTTCAGCCATGACATCTGATGCCAAAGTACAGTTATTAAAACATGGTTTCTATAAACTCTAAACCTTGGGCTAGAGAAATATATACGGTGTTTTTTTTTATCTACCTCAAGCCCAAGGTTTAGAGGGAAAGCTCCATATTGCCAGATTTCTGCTGATGTTTCCTTCCGATGGTCCTGAACCAAGAGGCCCAATGTGGAGAATCTAGACAGATGTAATACTATGTAGTGTCGGCCTATTTAGCTTTTCTGTGACTCTTTCCTGGAGGAGAGCTGGGAGGAAGTCCAGGGGACAAGGTCTTTAGATACCACCACCTATAAGTGATGTACCAGGACAGGATGCCGAAGAAAGTTCCAAATATTTTTTGCCAAGGAGTATGGAAGTAGATAGAAGTACAAAAGAACATCAAAGCCCAAATGGACACCAAGAGTCCCAGAGACACAACCAGGGCGTGGATCAGTGGCTTCATCCCGTGCTTCTTAAACCGCTCATCTCGTAGAATGGCCGCTTCCTCCAAAATCATCAAGACACAATACGGGAGCAAGAACGAGTGGCCAGAGATGTCAAATCCGACCCAGAATCCTCCGCTCTTGATACACTCTCTCTTGTCCCCGTGCTCGGTTTTATTCTCTGGCTGCATCTCAGACACATAACAACTACCGGTGGCGTTTTCAACGTACATGAAAAAGTTTGTGCAGACGTACCAAATGATGGTTCCTACAAGCAAGGTGCCTATCCGGCGAAACACGGCCGGGACGCTCCGGGTCACAATGTAATTGGTCAGTCCGATGAAAGGCAAGAGAAGAGATAACGTCCATCCCCAGGAAAGCTTGACAAAATAGCTGCAAAAACAAGGGTAAGGGCGTGAAAACAATCCCATGAAAAAACTTTATGCACAAGAAACAATTTAGCAGAAATCTATAGATGGGGGGGGGGGGGGGGGGGGAGATGCAGAGCACAGGAAGGAAAAAAAAAACAAAAAACCCTGTTTGGTACATTCATGGAAAAGTCTTTAAAATGTATCTGCAATAAATTTTGATTTACACAGTTTAGTCCAGGGGTAGGCAACCTGCGGCTCTCTAGCTGTTGTGGAACTACATTTCCCATGAGGCATTGCAAAGATTACAAAACTGAGTTACAGCTATGACTTGCAGAGGCATGATGGAACTTGTAGTTCTGCGGCTCTCAGGTTGCCTATCCCCTGGTTTAGGGAATGGTTAAAACTTGGTATTATTGCATGTGTCCAGCTGAAGAGATTTTCCCTCACTTCCTGTGGCAGGAACACAACAGAAATGAGAGGAAATCTCTCCAAAAGTGAGAGGAGATTACCATCAATGATGGGGTTTACACCGACGGCAGGATTTATTTGATCCCACTGACACCGATGACGGGATTTATTTGATCCCACTGACACCAATGACAGGATTTTTTTAATCCCACTGACACCCACGACAGGAGTTTTTTTTAATCCCACTGACACCAACAACAGCATTTATTTGATCACACCGACAGGATTTATTTAATCCCAATGACACAGACGACGGGATTTATTTAATCCTACTGACACCAACAATGACAGCAGATCACGGAGTAAATACAGTTGCCGGTTATTGGCCACAGCATGAGGAAACTACTGCTGATAACCTGCAATTGTCAGACAAAAGATTGACACTGATCATTAGTGCTGCTCATCAGTGCCTCCCCATCAGTGACCACCATTGCTGCATATCAGTGCAGCATGTCTCATCAGTACACATCAGTGCTCATCAGTGCTGCCTATCCATGCAACCTCATCAGTATCACATCAGTGCTGCAACCTCATCAGTACACATCAGTGCTGCCTATCAGTGTAACCTCATCAGTACACACAGTGCTGCCATCAGTGCATCAGTACACATCAGTGCTGTGTAACCTCATCAGTACACATCAGTGCTGCCACATCAGTGCTGCCCATCAGTCCTCATCAGTACAACCTGCCATCAGTGTAACCTCATCAGTACACATCAGTGCTGCCTATCATCAGTGCATCAGTCTCATCAGTCATCACATCAGTGTGCTATGCCTATCAGTACACATCAGTGTGCTGTCTCATCAGTACACATCAGTGCTGCCTATCAGTGCTGTGCTCAGTGCTCATCAGTGCTGTCTCATCAGTACACATCAGTGCTGCCTATCAGTGCTGCCTATCAACCTCATCAGTACACATCAGTGTGCTGCTCATCATACACATCAGTGCTGCAACCTCATCAGTACAATCAGTGCTGCAGTGTGCTGCCTCATCAGTACACATCAGTGCTGCCTATCAGTGCTCAGTATCAGTGTAACCTCATCAGTACACATCAGTGCTGCCTATCTGTGCTGTCTCATCTACACATCAGTGCTGCCTATGTAACTGTCTCATCAGTACACATCAGTGCTGCCTATCAGTGCTGTCTATCATCAGTACACATCAGTGCTGCCCATCAGTGTAACCTCATCAGTACACATCAGTGCTGCCTATCAGTGCAACCTCATCAGTGCATCAGTGCTGTCTCATCATCAGTGCTGCCTATCAGTGCTGTCTCATCCACATCAGTGCTGCCATCAGTGCAACCTCATCAGTACAATCAGTGCTGCTGCTCATCAGTACATCAGTGTAACCTCACAGTACACATCAGTGTGCAGTGTAACCTCATCCTATCAGTGTAACCTCATCAGTACACATCAGTGTGCTGCCTATCAGTGTAACCTCATCAGTACACATCAGTGCTGCCTATCCATGCAACCTCATCAGTACACATCAGTGCTGCCTATCCTCATCAGTACACATCAGTGCTGCCTATCAGTGTAACCTCATCAGTACACATCAGTGCTGCCTATCCATGCAACCTCATCAGTACAATCAGTGCTGCATGTACACATCCTGCCTATCATGCTAACCTCATCAGTACATCAGTGCTGCTGTACACATCAGTGCTGCCTATCAGTGTAACCTCATCAGTACACATCAGTGTGCTCATCAGTACACATCAGTGCTGCCTATCAGTGTAACCTCATCAGTACACATCAGTGCTGCCTATCAGTGCTGTCTCATCAGTACACATCAGTGCCGCCTATCAGTGCAACCTCATCATTGCTATTAGTGCCGCCTCATCAACGCACATCAGTGAAGGAGAAAAATTACCTGTTTGCAAAATGTTATCATAGAAACAAAGAAAAACTTTTTTTTCTTCAAATGTTTGCCACTTTTGTTTATAAAAACAAACCCCCAGCGATGTGTAAATACCACCAAAAGGAAGCTCTATTTGTGTGAAAAAAAGTGATAAATATTTCATATGGGTACAGTGTTGCATGACCGCGCAATTGTCATTCAAAGTGTGACAGTGCTGAAAGCTGGAAATTGGCCTGGACAGAAAGGGGGTATAAGTGCCCGGTAGGTGAGGGGTTATATATGTCATGGGGGTGGCAATGAGGGAGCCAGAGCCCGCCACCCCAGTGTCTCCATAGCAACCAAAGTGTGGCCATTTGTGTCTGGTGTGCTGTGTGTTCACTGGAAGTTGTGACAGTGGGGGGCGCTCTCCGTGTGCTAGGAGGAGACCCTGTCCTGGCACAGCCATGGAATGTCAGGCTCACCTCACCCCACAGGGACACTAACCAGAGGGCAGCCATGTTGTTCTCTCCTCTGCGTCAGGTGACTGGCAGGAGCACGCTGACCACGTGACTGCAACTCCCCTCCCCCCAAACCTGGCAGAGCACGTGACCCGCCCGCTCCGGTGACCGGCTGTACTCACACGTTGAGGAAGTTTCTCTTGCTGTTGAAGTAGGAGTCCGGGAGCGGCCAGAACTCCTTCACCAGGGAGCCGCCCACCGTCACACAGGCCAGGAGCAGAGCCGAGTGTCTGCGGAAAACGTCACTGAACAGCCCGGACTGGACCACACAGGCGCAGCGCTCCAACCACTCCATTGTGCGCGCCCACCACACGGCTAACACGCTTCTCCGGACTGCGTGCGCGTCCCCGACACTGACAGCGACAACTGCGCATGTGCTACGCTCTCAACGCGGCTCCGGTAGTCAGGGAAGAGAGGTTGGAACAGCGTATCGTCTACTACCTCCGCCACACTCAATGGACGGTCTGTCTTCATCACTGGAGGGCGGCGGGAAACCAGTCACAGCGCCTTCATTCTGTACCGGAAGAGGACTACACCCTCTACTATGAGGGGAGAGGTGTACTCTGTGTCTGGTGCCAGGACTTGCAATGGCACTTCCAGTGTCCCTGTCATTATGTTCAATGGTCCATGCGGAATGTCTGCCAGTACTTCTAATGGCACTCTCCATATCCCTGCCAGTATTCACAATCCCTGCCAGGACCTGCAATAAAAACTCACAAAATCTGGACCAGTATTTCAAATGGTAGTTGCAGAATTCTCGCCTTGGGTTTCCAATGGTATTCACAGAATCCCTGCCAAGACTTCCAGAATTCCTGCCACTATTTCTAGAATCCATGCTAGGATTTCCATTAGAACTTTCAGAATCCATGCCAGTGTTTCAAAAGGTAGTCAAAGAATCTATGCTAGCACTTCCAATTGCACCCACAGAGTCTATGCTAGCACTTCCAATTGCACCCACAGAGTCTATGCTAGCACTTCAATTGCACCCACAGAGTCCTAGCACTTCCAAAACCCACAGAGTCTATGCTAGCACCTCCAATTGCACCCACAGAGTCTATGCTAGCACTTCCAATTGCACCCACAGAGTCTATGCTAGCACCTCCAATTGCACCCACAGAGTCTATGCTAGCACTTCCAATTGCACCCACAGAGTCTATGCTAGCACTTCCAATTGCACCCACAGAGTCTATGCTAGCACTTCCAATTGCACCCACAAAGTCTATGCCAGTACTTTCAGTTGCACCCACAGAATCTATGCTAGATCTTTCAATTGCACCCACAGAGTCTATGCTAGATCTTCCAGTTGCACCCACAGACTCCATGCCAGCACTTCCAATTGCATCCACAAAGTCTATGCCAGTATTTTCAGTTGCACCCACAGAATCTATGCTAGATCTTCCAATTGCACCCACAGAGTATATGCTAGATCTTCCAATTGCATCCACAAAGTCTATGCTAGTACTTTCAGTTTCACTCACAGAATCTATGCTAGATCTTCCAATGGCAATTACAAAACCCTGGAAGTGTTATCAGCAGTACTCCTAGAATCCCAGCCAGTATTTATAGTACTCATAGAATCCCTACCAGGGCTATGTTCTGAATGAAAATAGACATTGTAATAATTATAATCAATCAGGAAACCTATAAATTCCTCCCTATGTCTGGTATCCTGTCAACTCCTAAGTGGGAGATCTGCCATCATTGCTGCCCCCTGAGCAATCTCAGCTCTATAATAATAGAGCCCCACTTGTGTGCCTTGGGTCCTAGAGAAGCTCAATCAATACAACATGCCCAGTGTTGGTGATGTCTCTACTTGTCCAGCTCTGGGAAGCCAATCCCCCCAAAGTGTTGTTTGCAGAGCCTCCCACTGACCACAGGGCAATTCTGCTTTTTTTGCGTGCCAAAATTGGGCCTTTTTGTTCTCCCACCAATAGCAAAGTTAAAATCATTAAGGCTTTGAGGATTTGGCCTAGGTTTAGAATTGGGCGGGTGTGGGAATCGCTCAATGTCGCTCAGAGAAGCCCGATGTCACTCAGAGGAAGCCATATGTCGCTCAGAGGAAGCCCGATGTCGAGTAGAGGAAGCCCGATGTCGCTCAGAGAAGCCCGATGTCGAGTAGAGGAAGCCCGATGTCGCTCAGAGGAAGCCCGATGTTGAGTAGAGGAAGCCCGATGTCGCTCAGAGGAAGCCCGATGTCGCTCAGAGGAAGCCCGATGTCGCTCAGAGGAAGCCCGATGTCGAGTAGAGGAAGCCCGATGTCGAGTAGAGGAAGCCCGATGTCGCTCAGAGGAAGCCCAATGTCGCTCAGAGGAAGCCCGATGTCGAGTAGAGGAAGCCCGATGTCCGATGTTGCTCAGGGAAGCCCGATGTCGCTCAGAGGAAGCCCGATGTCGAGTAGAGGAAGCCCGATGTCGCTCAGAGAAGCCCAATGTCGAGTAGAGGGAGCCCGATGTTGAGCAGAGGAAACCCAATGTCGCTAATATTGGGTGGTATTGGCTGGTTCAATAGAAACCAGCTGAGGTGTACGGAAGCCGGTCTGGCTTCTGTCGAAGGGGCATGACCGAAAAAAGTCTACCGATTGGTTGGTTTCCAACCAGCGCTCTCAGCCAATGGCTAAGACCGCTGACCAGTGTGGTCTGGGGAGGGGGCAGTCTCACTGTCAGAACACAATAGCACAGCGGGGGAGATCACTGTAGTAACACCACTTGTGTTAGTACAGCGATCTGCCAGTTTTTTGTCATTCAGCCTACTGAGTTGAACGGAAAACAAATCATAGTGTGTATGGGGCATTAATCCATGAAAGTATCGGCGTCCTTCTCAGTGAATCCATGCTGCTGCACACAGTCCCAGTCAGATTCATGCAGCAGTGGCTTTAAAGGCTTACCCTGTCTGTGTAGTCAAACATATATCTGGACAACGTTTCACTGCTATTACGAGTTTACTCCTTTTTGCAGGTACAACCACTTGAATGCCCTCTCCAGCTAGGTTGCTGTCTCTGCCGGTCCCTGCTCACACCGCTACAACGCTGTCAGCCTGTCCCCACGTGGCCAATCTTGGTGCTTCTGGACAGTGGAATGTGTGGATCTGATGATGTCAAACCTGAGCATAGCATGACGCCAACGTGTTTCCCTGAATATCGGCTTTGTCGGGACGTGCACCTTGTCTTCCACTTTGTTGGTCGCTTTCTTAGCAAGAAGCAAGACCTGTGTAATTGAAATGGAGCGCAGAGCAAAGCTGGCGTTTACCATTGTGTGCCTGAATAACTTCAGCTAAACTTTGCTCATTGTTGTGTATGAATAACATGATTTCTTTGCATTGTGTGTGTCCAGCTGCTTTGCAAAAAGTCGGCTAAACTCAGCTAAACTGAAATTTCCACATCTGTGTGAATGTAGCCTTAGTCATGTCTTTTCCAATACAAACCACAAGAGGAGGCCATTCACTAAAGAGGAAAGTCTCTTCCAGCTGCTACCAGGCTAACAAAACAGACCACAGAACGGAGGAAAGTGCTTTGCTAAAGCCTTTGAGCTAGAAACTGAAAAATTATATATTTTGTAAAGAAAGCAAATATAAAATATTACATATAATAGCTATGTCTATATATATATATGTGTGTGTGTGTGTGTGTGTGTGTGTGTGTGTGTGTGTGTGTGTTCTTCAAAACGTTTCAGCACTTTATATGTGTGTGTGTTAATATATAATGTAAATCTATAATATAAAAATATAGTGTGTACACACACACACTCTCTCTCTCCCTCCTTCCCCCTCCCTCCCTCCCTCTCTCTCCCTCACCATTTTTCTCGGTAAATATATTTCTAAAGGTGCTATTGACATGAAATTTTCAACACATAACACGTAACAACCCATACAATCTATACGTACAAAAAAACCAAAAACAAATAAGTTCAGAAAATAAATTATGTGTTATAAAACGGAATGACACAGGGAAAAGGTATTGAACACGCTAACTGTTCTGTCTCTCCAATCTAAGCTTTGATAGCGTGATCTGTGTGATGAAATCGCGATAACTTCAACCTCAGTTGGATATCACAGTCAATGACTCAATTAGACTGACATCTTGTAGGTCTTGTGAAGTTTATTCCATAAACTGAGAGAATCTTACAACAATGAACATTCGATAGGTCAAAAGATCATACTGTTTCTTGCTCCATGCCACGAGGCTTGCCGCAATGCCTCACTGGGAAGAGGGGTGGGATATCTATACAGCATTAACTAAACCAAAGGAAAGGGAGAAGCAGAGACAAAATATAGAAAACTCTTAAAGGCATATGACAGTCAATATGACAGTCATGTAAAACATGACACTAACTGAAATTTATTTAATACTTGGTACAAAACCCTTTGTTGGTAATGACAGCTTCAAGACACCTGTATGAAGAAACTAGTCGCTTGCATTGCTCGGGTGTGATTTTGGCCCATTCTTCCACGCAGTCTTCGAATCTTGAAGGTTCCGTGGGCCTCTTCTGTGAACTCTGATCTTTAGTTCTTTCCATAGATTTCTTTTGGAATCAAGTCAGGTGATTGGCTGGGCCATTCTAGCAGATTTATTTTCTTTCTTTGAAACCAATTGAGAGTTTCCTTGGCTTTGTGTTTGGGATCACTGTCTTGCTGAAATGTCCACCCTCACTTCATCTTCATCATCCTGGTGGATGGCAGCAGATTTTTATCAACAATATCTTGGTACATTTTTCCATTCATCCTTCTTTCAATGATATGAGGTTTGCCAGTACAATATGCTGAAAAACCGCCCCACACCATGATGTTCCCACCTGCAGACTGTATTCTCCCAGTATTTCACAGGCTTGTCCAAGTTGTTTAGTGAGTTTTTTTAAATTGTATTTTTTTTGCCACAGTTGTTTGGGAAATAAAGAAAGTAAATAGAAAATTGATTTCATTTAACAAAGTTGTCATTTGAACAAGTTATTTCTCAGTCAGCAAAAGCTTGCTTACAATTGCACCCCAAAACACATTCTTGTACTTCTCTTGAGTATAGGGATAGCACATGTGGGAGACTTTTTCACAGCCTAAATGCATAAAGTGGCTGAATATCCAAGGAGCGCCTTTCAAGGGGGACAAATAATGCATCTAATTTTTTGACTACACCAAAAGAGAGCTACACATGGTTTCCCCTGTATGTGTGACACTTCTTGTTCCTTAGGGTACATACAGTGATCAGCATAAATGAGTACACTCCAACAGGTTTGTCATAAAACCTTTACTTTCCATTCAGAATCAACATTTTCTGTGGGAAAATGAATACCCCCAACGAAAGTCTTAGGAGCAAAGCTAAATTAT